AAAGATTTTTTTTCTATTATTGCATCCAAATTTGGCTACTTTCTAGCTAAAACTGCAAATGGCTTATTTTCAGTGGAAAGCTGACTACATTGATGTCCTATGTAGGGTGCATAGATTGTGAGCTATTTTTGTTTATGAACCAATGTTTATGATTTAGTTCAATGTGAATCCCGCAGGTCAAGCAAAGTTAACCTAATCATGACTTAGTACAGTTTGGGAATAGAATACAATGGCTGCGTTAGTCAAGTGGATCTTTTATGTGTATATATATATATTATAGGTAGCCCTCGACTTACGACCACTACTGAGCCCAAAATTTCTGTTGGTAAATGAGACAATTGTTAAGTGAATTTTGCTCCATTTTATGGCCTTTCATACCATAGTTTTAAGGGAATCACTGCATTTGCTAAATTAGTAACACGTTTGTTAAATGAATCTAGCTTCCCCTTTGATTTTGCTTGTCAGAGGGTCACAAAAAGTGATCACATGACCTCGGGACCCTGTGGTCATCATAAAAATGAGTTATTGCCAAGCATCTGAAAATTGATCATGTGACCATGGGGATGCTGCAACAGTCGTAAGTGTGAAAAACGGTCATAAGTCACTTTTTTCAGGGATGTTGTAACTTTGAATAGTCACTAGATGAACTGCTGTAAGTCGAGGACTACTTATATATACACATTTGTTTATTTGGGATTTGGCACACTTCCTGGAGATAACATTGTATAATAGGAGGACATATATCTCATATCCGCTCAGATGACAAGGTGGTGTTGTGGACTTCTTTGTCAAAATCGTAAGTCGGTTGTGGTTGAGCTGTGTGTTCCCCTGCGAGGGTGCCTCAAAATGGGTCTGACAAAAATGTTGACAGGAGATCAGGGCATAGTTTTGGGAAGGTGTAAGACTTGAGGAGTAGGATGTTCTGCCTTACTGATCAAACTAAAATGATCGGGCTTTTCTTAACCATAGGCCCTCCAGATAGGAGACATCTGGGAGCTGTAATCCCAACCCAATTATAGTGTATTTATTTATTTATTAAATGTGAATATTTCCTCAATCTCCAAGAACCTCCAGCAATTAAGAACTGAATGAAAACTGTGCAATACAATAATCATTAAAATGTCCCTGGTCAAATAAAAGTCAAAAGCAGTGTTTCTCAATCGTGGCAACTTGAAGATGGGTGGACTTCAACTCCCAGAATTCCCCAGCCAGCAGTGCTGGTTCGGGAATTCTGGGAGGTGAAATCCACCCATCTTCAAGTTGCTAAAGTTGAGAAAGAGTAGAGGGAACACCTTTTGTACACCAATCATAGAGTTGGCTGACTATCGTGGTGGTGAAGGCCGATCTGTTCAAGCTCTCGTTGGTTTTGCTAGAATCTCAGAAAAGTGTTTAGAATTAAAATTGGGCTTCTCTCCATGCAAAGCAGGAGCTTTGCCTCAGAGCAATGAAACTCCACCAGAGGTTCATGCAAACTCTCTCTTCCACTGGCTGCACAAATATATTAGTTACAGGCTAATGAGAGGCTAAAATTTAACAGGTGGTTGGTTAAACGATCATTGATCACGGATCTGCACCTGTCCATTCTTAGCCATCATTTATAAATGCTTTTGTTTAATTGAAATGGGATTAGGAGTGGGAAATTACACAGTTGTAATGTTTGGGAAAATGGTTGCTCTAGTGAATTGATGAAAATAATCTTCCTGTTTCCCATGATGATAGATGTGTAGATTAGAGGAGCTAATTTGGTTGTTTTTTTCCATTTGGAAAAAAAAGATTTCTAAACCAATAGGAAAAATGCATCTTTAAAAGAATTTTCCCTGTCGTGTAAGTTTGTTTATTTGTGCCAGAAGCATCACAATAAAATAAGGCATGCTAAGTGACATAAAATTTAAAATATAAAATACAAGTTAAACAGATTTTGCTCAGAAATTAGCAACATTAATTGTGTTCTGTCATGCTACCATGATGTCCTCAAGTATACGCTGATCAGGACATAAAAGGCAGGTATACATATGTGTTGTTGTGTAAGTTATTTTCTTTTTTTTAACCTCTCGTTCTTGAGGATGTTGTTGGACTGCAGTTCTGTTCACTTGCTTGTGACCTTTCTGAGCAGGTGTGAAGTTCAAGAACATCTTAAAGAATGATTCAAGGAAATTGCTATTTACAGTTCCTCCAAATTTTCTATTCGGATAACTGATCTTGGAGTTATTCACCGCTGCATTAGTTTTAATTATTTGGTTTTGTTTCCTTGTGCAAAACAGTAAGCCATCAAAAAGACTCACAAACTGCTAGATTTGAGTAAAATAGCAATACATTTTACTTCTAAGTAACAAAAATAATGTACAGTGGGGTAAAAAAGTATTTAGTCAGTCACCAATTATGCAAGTTCTCCCACTTAAAAAGAGGAGAGAAGCCTGTAATTGTCATCATAGGTAGACCTCAACTATGAGAGACAAAATGAGAAAACAAATCCAGACAATCACATTGTCTGATGTGGAAAGAATTTATTTGCAAATTATGGTGGAAAATAAGTATGTGGTCAATATCAAAAGTTCATCTCAATACTTTGTTATATATCCTTTGTTGGCAATGACAGAGGTCAAACATTTTCTGTAAGTTTTCACAAGGTTGGCACACACTGTTGCTGGTATGTTGGCCCATTCCTCCATGCAGATCTCCTCTAGAGCAGTGATGTTTTGGGGCTGTCGCTGGGCAACACGGACTTTCAACTCCCTCCAAAGGTTTTCTATGGGTTGAGATCTGGAGACTGGCTAGGCCACTCCAGGACCTTGAAATGCTTCTTACGAAGCCACTCCTTTGTTGCCCAGGCGGTGTGTTTGGGATCATTGTCATGCTGAAAGACCCAGCCACGTTTCATCTTCAATGCCCTTGCTGATGGAAGGAGGTTTGCATTCAAAATCTCACGATACATGGTCCCATTCATTCTTTCCTGTACATGGATCAGTCGTACTGGTCCCTTTGCAGAGAAACAGCCCCAAAGCATGATGTTGCCATCCCCATGCTTCACAGTAGGTATGGTGTTCTTTGGATGCAACTCAGCATTGTGTCTCCTCCAAACACGATGAGTTGTGTTTCTACCAAACAGTTCTACTTTGGTTTCATCTGACCATATGACATTCTCCCAATTCTCTTCTGGATCATCCAAATGCTCTCTAGCAAACTTCAGACAGGCCTGGACATGTACTGGCTTAAGCAGGGGGACACATCTGGCACTGCAGGATCTGAGTCACTGGCGGCGTAGTGTGTTCCTGATGGTTGGCTTTGTTACGTTGGTCCCAGCTCTCTGCAGGTCATTTACTAGGTCCCCCTGTGTGGTTCTGGGATTTTTGCTCACCGTTCTTGTGATCATGTTGACCCCACGGGGTGAGATCTTGCGTGGAGCCCCAGATTGAGGGAGATTATCAGTGGTCTTGTATGTCTTCCATTTTTTTAATTATTGCTCCCACAGTTGATTTCTTCACACCAGGCTGTTTGCCTATTGCAGATTCAGTCTTCCCAGCCTGGTGCAGGTCTACAATTTTCTTTCTGGTGTCCTTCGACAGCTCTTTGGTCTTCACCATAGTGGAGTTTGGAGTGTGACTGTTTGAGGTTATGGACAGGTGTCTTTTATACTGATCACAAGTTCAAACAGGTGCCATTAATACAGGTAATGAGTGGAGGACAGAGGAGCCTCTTAAAGAAGAAGAAGTTACAGGTCTGTGAGAGCCAGAAATCTTGTTTGTTTGTAGGTGACTACATACTTATTTTCCACCATAATTTGCAAATAAATTCTTTCCACATCAGACAATAAGCCGAGGTGGCGCAGCAGTTAGGGTGCAGTATTGCAGGCCACTTTAGCTGACTGTGTTCAGCAGGTCAGCGGTTCAAATCTCACCGGCTCAAGGTTGACTCAGCCTTCCATCCTTCCGGGGTAGGTCAAATGAGGACCCAGATTGTTGGGGGCAATGTAAAATATATATATACATTGCTTACTGGTGTACACCGCTTAGAGAGTGCTTGCACTTAAAGCGGTATATAAGTCTCATAAATAAATAAATAAATAAATAAATGTGATTGTCTGGATTTGTTTTCTCATTTTGTCTCTCATAGCTGAGATCTACCTATGATGACAATTACAGGCCTCTCTCATCTTTTTAAGTGGGAGAACTTGCACAATTGGTGGCTGACTAAATACTTTTTTGCCCCACTGTATATTGCCTTCTGTTTCTTAGGATTTGTGGGTTATCCTCCCTCACAGGAGAAGTCTATCTGCAAATTCAGTAGGATCCTATAGTGTGTAAAATTACAACAGATCTAAGTACAGTGGTATGTTGGTACTCAACTGCTTTGAAACTCATCTAATTTGGTACTTCATACATTTTTTCGTGAAAATTTTGTCCCGGTACCCATTGTTTGTTTGGTACTCCATACACAAACTAGAACTTGTCAGTGGCTGCCTTATGACTCACTCACTACATTATTCCTTATGGGAAAATTTGTTTGATACTCAGCATTTTTGGTACTCATTGTGTCTCCTGGAACCAATTAACGATGAGTACTGAGGTACTAGCGTAGGAGGGGGAAGAAAATCAAGAGAGCAACAATCCTTCCCAAAGTCCCAAGTATGCTAGCCTAGATCTGAAATATGTTGGATAAAGTACAAAAGAGAGGATAAAAAAATCCTTGTGGAACGTAATTGGCTGAGTATGTGCATAAACAGTGAATAAGACTATAGGTAGCCCTCAACTTTATGACCACAACTAGCATCAGAATTTCTATTGTTAAGCAAGGCGGTTGTTCCATCGTGCCTGACTTTATTACCTTTTTTGCCACGTTTGTTGGTGAATCACTGCAGGTGACTCACCAACAGGCCCTCAGCCATGTCAGAGAAATGGCTGACCAAAAATTTTGAAACTAGGAGGAGGCTCTTTCCCACAGTGGCTGCCCGTCTTGTCTTCTTTCAGGATTAAATAAAACCTTTTTTTTTTTAAACTTTACAGAGGATCTTCTCTGCTGTTGCTTCCTGCCCCCTGGAACATCTTGTGTCCCCATCCTCACCGCACCCCCGATGTGAGGTGGGCCCCCAACCTTCTTATCTTTTCGTAAGGGCCTAAAGACGTGGCTCTGCCAGTCGGCTTGGGGCCCCAGTGCAGGAACCGTGCAATCGAGGCGGTTGCTTGAGTAATAATAGATCCTACCTCCCCACCACCACCACTCTGCCCCTGTCCTCCCCATGTTTCCTTGGTTTTAATGTCTGATTTTTTTTTTTTTGTGTTTTAACTGTATATGTAACTGTAAGCTGCCCATAGTTACCCTATGGTAAGATGGGTGCAAATAAATAAATAAATTTATGCGTACATATATACATATATACAATAAATAAATAAATAAATAAATTTATGCATACATACATACATACATAAAATAAATAAATAAATAAATATTTTTTCCTCGTGTGGCTAATTATAGCTGGCCATTGAAGGATGCTGGGAGTTGTAGTCCATCCCCATCAATGAGAAGGACATTGATGGGTAATAATAATAGTAGTAGTAGTAGTAGTAGTAGTAGTAGTAGTAGTAGTAGTAGTAGTAGTAAAATTGGAAGGGATCTTGGAGATCATCTAGTCCAACCCCCTGCTCAGGCAGGAAACCCTACACCATTTCGGACATCGGTATATCAAGAAGGTTGGGGAGAAGACAGGTACAAATGATTTCGTTGCTGAGAACAAGAGTGAAAGGGAAGGATGGCGGCTTAGGTCCCTCTCTGTTGTTCCTCACTTCCCAATGTCATCGGTTGAACAATCAGCCATGATCACCCTCCGGGTGGGTCTGCTAATGACTGATCTAAAAGCATCAAATTCATTTAGTTTTCACTCCTAGTGACAGCGCCGTTAATGATAATAGATTCTTTTTCTAATTTCTCTTTTGGCCTGCTGCCTTGTCGTCCCTGTTTTTTCTCCCTCCCTCTGACTCCACACCCCCCCCCCCAATATCCCCTATTGCTGAGAAATCAGCATTACTCAGAAAACATGAGTCTTATTTTTAGCAGGGGAGCTGGAAATAGTGTAACGCAGCGTGTGTCTTCGGTATGGCTTTGGAGAAAGGAAATGGAATTAAGCATCGTTTCTTTCTTTCTTTTTTTTAATCTAGGTGCTTTTGCAAATAATGGCTTTAGGCCAAATACTTTTAAGTAGCTGTAGGAGGAGGGAAAAAATCTCGAAAATCTTTCTATGTGGAAAGTCCTGATACATGCAGGATTCAGCAGGGGCTCAGAGTGGCTGTTGTAATGGTGTCCATGCGCTGACTCTTGCATGTGGTAACATGAGCAGTGCTAGCTGGCTATATGGGAGGAACATTAGAAATGAAAGGTGTGAAGTGTTACAGGTGGTCCTAGACTTGCAACAGGTCATTTACCAACTGTGTGAAGTTACACACAGTTTGAGAATGGACCCCCACTCCAAAAGCTAATTAGAACCCAATTTTGAAGTTTGGACATTGCCTCCCTGGTCATGTGACCACATTCTGGACACTCGCCAACTTACTTCCATTTACAGCCGTTTGTATCGCCCCACAATCAGGTGACTTCGATTTATGACAATTTTGCTGGAAACCGGCATTTACTTCCCGTTTCTGGCAAAACACGCCCCACAGTGAGCAGTGTTTAATGACTGTAGCATTTGCTTAGCAAAAAAAGGTCATAAAATTATGTCTGGGTTAAGTGGTGTTCTACTTTACAACTTCACAACATATTACAGTTATAACTCAAGGATAACCTGTAGTGAAATGTACAGCCTTTGGCTCCTGATCCCAAGTTAGGTTCTCCTAGGCTTCCCAAAATAGAAGCTATATGTAGGTCCCCCTTTTTTAACTTGAGGACTGAAAGCTAGGCTTGGACTCGTACAGATAGTCTACAACTACAACTACACTTGAACCCAAACTTTCTGTTGTTAAGCGAGACAGTTGTTAAGTGAGTTTTGCCTCATTTTATGAATTTTCTTGCTTGTTAAGTGAATCACTGCAGTTATTAAGTTAGTAACACGGTTGTTAAGTGAATCTGACTTCCCCATTGACTTTGCTTGTCAGAAGGTCGAAAAAGGTGAGCACATGACCCCATAACACTGCAACCATCATGAATACATGCTCTTTGCCAAACATCTGAATTTTGATTACGTGACCATGAGGATGCTGCAGTGGTTGTAAGTGTGAAAAACAGTCATATCTCACTTATTTCATTGCCATTGTAAGTTTGAACGGTCATCACTTAAAAGAGCCGAGGTGGCGCAGCAGTTAGAGTGCAGTACTGCAGGCCACTTTAGCTGACTGTGTTCAGCAGGTCAGCGGTTCAAATCTCACCGGCTCAAGGTTGACTCAGCCTTCCATCCTTCCGAGGTAGGTAAAATGAGGACCCAGATTGTTGGGGGCAATGTAAATATATATATACATTGCTTACTGGTGTACACCGCTTAGAGAGTGCTCGCACTTAAAGCGGTATATAAGTCTCATAAATAAATAAATAAACTGTTGAGTACTGGTGGTAGTGCAGTGAAAAATGGTGAAAAAAGTCACTTTGACTTGACCAGTCATTAAACTGTTGTAAGTTGAAGACTTTTTATTCATATGGCTTATGGTTTACAGTGAATTGTCTAATGTTAATAAGGATTGAGGTTGTAGACGGATTGCGTGTGAGCATCAAAATATAAATATGGTTAGTAAGCAGATCCTTTGTACGTGGTATAATACACTAGGAATACTTAAAAGACTTTGCAGGACCTGGCAATAGCTTAAAAAAGCCTTTCATATAATAATGATTATGTAAATTGTTATTTGAGAGCCAATTTGGTGTAGTGGCTGAGGCACCAGGCCAGAAATCAGGAGATCATGAGTTCTAATCTTGCCTTAGTCATAAAGCCAGCAGGGTGACCTTGGGCCAGTGCTCACTCAGATCTAGGATCTAGGCAAATCACTTCTGAAAATCTTGCCAGGAAAACTGCAAGGACTTGTTCATGTAGTCACCAGGAATCAAGGCTGACTCAGACAGCCAAAAGTGTTATTTAATATATATTTACTGTATTAAATATCTTAAGTATTGATTGATTGTGTACCATCCAGTCAAGGTTGACTCTTAGCAACCGCATCGATAAACCTTCTCCAAGATGACTATGACACATACTTTAATATGAATTACGTATATTCATGTAAATATAAACTAGCGTTGCTAATGAATTGTTTTCAGACCTTTATGGTACGTGAATAATGAGATTTTTCTTGAATTAGGAAGGTTGTAATAAATTGAATCTTCAATTCTGTGTTACCAGTTTAATTCATTCTTAATTTCTGCAAAAACAACTTCCTTGGCTATAATCTTACAATAGCGCAAGATCTTTTCGATGTAGCTGTGTATTTTTCCCCATATGTTCTTGTTGGTTTGATTATTATGAGTTTGATGCCCTAACATATCAATAGTGTCATGGATTCCATTCATTGTATGCCCTGTTTTGTTGCTGGATAATTGACCTTCAATTGCATATACAAGAAGCCTATGTTACAGAGTTTTTGGTGGTAATGGGTAGTACCCTTCCTCTTCAAGGATTTGACCAAAGACTCCAGGGCATGTCAGTGTTTCATATAACAAATGAAGATTCCCAGAACAGGAATGGAACTTTGCTTATGCCATGGGTCTTCAAACTTGGCAACATTAAGACTTGTAGACTTCAACTTCCAAAATTCCCCAATCACCCCGATGGCTGAGGAATTCTGGGAGTTGAAGTCCACAAGTCTTAAAGTTGCCAAGCTTGGAGACCCCCCCTGGCTTATGCTATAAGAACATAATTGTTCTCTTGCTGGACTGGCCAATCTAATCCAGAAGTCTGATCTTACAATGGCCACCCAACTGCATAAGGAAGCCTACTAGTCCCCTAGGACAGGGCTTTTCAACCTTTTCACCCATTGTACCACTTTTAGGATATGACAACATCCGAGTACCACCAGTCGCCTAGCAAGGTGTCAAAAACTTGATGACCCCCCCCAAAAAAGGAAAAAAGTGATAAAAGTACAGGTAGTCCTCGACTTATAACAGTTCGCTTAGTAACTGTTCAAAGTTACAATGACACTGAAAAAAGTGTCCCCCAAGGCACAGCCGAGCAAGACGCTCTTTCTCCTATCCGAGGTTTTCATTGTTGTGAGCATTTCTGTTGAGGATTGGCAGCGGGGATGGGGTAGGGGTGTTTGGTTTTTATCCCCCCCCCCATCTGCTGGATGGTTTTAGCAGGTTTTGGTCACTTCACATGACCCTGGGACACTGTGACCATCATAAATATGAATCAGTTGCCAAGCATCTGAATGTAAATCATAAGACCCTGGAGATGCTGCAACATTCCAGCTGATCGGCGCTTCTTCTGGGCTCAGCAGAAGTGCCAGGATCAGCACCGAGCTCCAGCTGGAGCCTGGCGCTGATTCTGGCGCTTCCACTGAGCCCTGACAGCCCTGCAGCTCCAGCCATCTCTCGCTCAGGCTTGTGCGTTGCTACCACCGGTTCAGCTCATTCCCCTCCCCCGCTACCACTTTTCTAGGATGGTCGCATACCACCTACCAGGTGCCAATGTACCACAGGTGGTACCCGTACCACTGGTTGAAAAGCCCTGCCCTAGGAGATGGCCTTCAGAGGTAATCTCACTGCCATCACAACAAAAAGACATTGTTCTCTGTGGCTTCCATGAATCGGTCCATCCCGTTTTTCGAAACCAGCCAATCTGGTAGTCAGCACCACATTTCATGATAGTTAGAATTTCATAGAAGACTGGATACGGATAGTCCTTGACTTGTATCTACAATTGAATCCAAATTTTCTGTTGCTAAGCGAGACAGTTGTTAAGTTTTGCCCCATTTTAGACCTTTCTTGCTACAGTTAGGTGAATCACTGTGATTGTTAAGTTAGTAACACAGTTTTAAAGTGAATCTGGCTTCCCCATTGTCTTTGCTTGTCAGAAAGTCACAAAAGGTGATCATATGACCCTGGGACACTGCAGCTGTCATAAATATGAACTAGTTGCTAAGTATCCAAATTTGATCATATGACCAAAGGGATGCTGTAAAGCAGGGGTCTTCAAACTTGGCCACTTTAAGACTTGTGGACTTAATTGTGAAAAACAATTGTAAGTCCCCTTTTTCAGTGCTGTTGTAACTCTGAATGGTTGCTAAACAAATGGTTGTAAGTCATTGACTACTTATGCATTGTGTAACAGGCAGCCTTACTTAGAGTATGGGAAAGGAGGAGGCAAATATCATCGTGTGATAGGGAAAGGGAAGAAAAAAGG